TCGAGTTCACTACCTCTTGGCTTATCATGAGCCTGATGGGAGAAGATTCTTAACTTTGTACCCTCTTGTACTTCAGGAGATGTATAGGAAACAGCCCTATGGACTTGATGGAGCTGCTCTGCTGAGACTCCCTCTGCCCTGCTCCTGCTGCTGGTGCCAAGCAGTGAAACACAGGCTGCCATGGGCCTTGCCAGAGTGCCTGAGAGCAAAATGGGATGTGCAAATCCACCTTTGCTTGCTGCTCCCAGCATGGGTGCCTGTGCCACCAGCGCTGTCCTCCCCCAGCCTACCCTGCATGTGTTCAGGTGTCTGACACTGGTGTGCCCAGGGCACCCATGCGACTGTGTTTGCTTTGCTGTTAGCTCTGGGTAACCAGATTACTTAATAGTGCAATTGTTTTTCTGGACAGGAAGCCTATTAGTAGAATCTGGGCTATAAATCTGTGGGGTTTTTTTTTTCCCCTCTTTGGATGTGTAATTGGATCTTTCAGAAACTGCCTGTTTGCATGATGAATGTTGTTTTTAAGCTGTATGAGCCATTCATGTCTCTAAATCCCGTATCAATGCCAGTCAGATGGAGCAAGCAGGGGGCTGAGCCACCCTGTGGCTGTCCTGGCATGGACAAGGCACAGGGGAGGCTGCGGCTTCACAGTGCAAGAGACAAGATTATTTCTGCAAAGTTGGCTTTGCTCTTTTCTTGATGGGACCGTCTGGGCTGGGTTGGCTTCTTCCTGCAGTTGCATGAGAAGTGGTGTCTGCATACACAGGGCTGTTTTAGAGCGGGGCCTGTTACAAATGCCTGTCTGCTTTGACAAGGGGGCTCTGAAGGATATGAAATGCATTCTGTGCACTCACACTTTTCCTTTGACCTTCTCCTCCTGAAAATGAGGGAGAAATCAGAGTCCTAGCTGGAGGTAGTCATTGGTAGTGATATAAAAATGACTTAGAGAAGGATAATAGTCACATGTGTGAGTCACTAGACCAACATGTAGAGATCCAAAATGGAAAAGGTGATGCTAATTGGTGGAGAGGATGAAGTGGGTGAATGACAGAGCTGGTGCTGTGTGTGGTGAGCTAAGACACTGCTGTGTTTGTGGCCTTGAGAGTGTTTCATCAGAGCAACTGCAGCAGCTAAGTGTGAGACCAGCTCTGCGGGTGTATGAGCCCCAGTCCTTAGCTTGGGGCTGTTGAGGGCTGTTGGACTCCTTCCGCAGCTTTGCTCCAAGGTGCAAGTGTGTGTGAACTGGCAGATTGAGACTGCATTCCCAGTGAGGGAATGTCAGTCTCCAGAAACATTGGCCCTGGAGGGCTGACACAGGAATGAGGAAACTCCGTCACTGGTGTGGCATCTCCTGCTTTCTCCCCACGGTGTGTGATACAAGGCGAGTGGCCAGAGGAGTGAGCTGCAAGTGAAACATCTCCACAGCTTGTTTTGCTTCCAGCTCTAACCACACAGAGGCCCTGCACCCAGAGGAGGTGATGACCAGGCCTGTGTCACCTGTTGTTGCCTGTCCCTCCTCCTTTGCCTGTTGCTAGCATCCCCATCTTAGTAATGTCTGCAGGAAAGAAACCAGATGACAAAAAGCAGTTGTGGTGCAGCTGAATATGGCAGATGTTGCTGAGCTTTGTTGCAGAAGATGCCTGGCAGGTCATTGCTATGCTGGCAGGCAGCTGTCCTGGGCAGGTAGCTGTGTCCTAGCTGCCCAGGAGTGCTGTCCCTTAGGGTGGCAGGCAGCCTGGTGCCAGCCCCAGCTCACTCCCTTAGGTCTGTTGGTATCCTCTGAGCTGGCAGGGCACCCACCTGCCTTGCTCAGCAGTGAAGAAGTGTCCCCCCAGGAGACTGGTTGAAGCTGAGGTGGTGTATCAGCAAACCTCTGCAGAACAGCTGCCCTTGAGAAACGGGTCACTCCAGGTCTTTGAGTTCTGCATGCAGGGTGGGAATGTGTGTGACCATGGGGAAAAGATGCTTATTGACTGTTATCCACAGCCTTTGGGGGCAGAGGCTCCTGGGACATGGGCCTGGAGAAGCTTCCCCAAGGTACCTTACAAACCAAGCACAGACAATCCGGGGTGCTCTCCAAACCCTGCTTGCATCTGTTTTCTTGTTCCAGGCTGTTTTGGGGATAATGAGATTTAATCAGTTTCCAGCTCTCCTCCCCTAACCAGTGGTTCAAATCCTATTATCTTGTAAAGCATTTGGAATTCTGTCCCCTGAAATTGCATTAAGCCAGGATGGAAATTCCTGGTGGCTTAAACCTTGCCTCCATACAGCATCAAGTTGTTGCTGCTTGCTCTGCAGATCCTACAGACTTGCTGGCATGGGGACGTAAATGCTGGTTAGCTTGCTGGCTAACCCCCAGCAAGATGGACTGATCCATCATGGGAAGGTCAGAGAAGTGCTGGTGGGGGTATAGGAATGCTTGCCAAGGATGGAATTCACCCAGTTAGGAGCAAATGTTGTAAGCTCTTAGCCAGTGTGCTCAGGTCCCTTGGAGACCCAGTGCACCTTCCTCTTGCTGGCAGCAATCTTGTGGGGTGTTGCTTTGTCTTTTCCCACCACTCTCTTCCCAGCTTTTTAACTAGACAGACTGCTTCCAGGGAAAATGGGGTTTCTAGACAGGGAGAGGAGCACAGAGGGAAGAACAAACTGTGGGTTCAGGGTTGGTGGGTAGTTCAAGGTCATGGGGTAGGTGGGACACAGAGCTGCTCTCTGCTGATGGTTTCCTTTAGCCAGCCGCACTCCCCTTATCTCGGGGAGTGCACAGGTTATGTCTCTGGTGGTGCAGGAGAAGTGGAGGCTTTGTTTGCTTTCCATAGCACTGCTCATTACCTTGGGGTTAGACTTGTGCCAGTGCTGAGGAGCTGCGTTGTGGTTGTCCCAGCCATGGGGACATGGGAGCTGCCCCACTTGCCGCCAAGGAGTTTCATAGCCTATGGAATTTTTCTTGGGATTCTTATCAAAGTGTTACTTGGGGAAGAGGACTTTAGATGTGGTAATCTTTGTTAGGAACGGGCTGTGAGCTGGAGAGCAGATAAGAGCTTGTGGAGCTCTTGAGAGCCAAATCGTGTCAAATTTTAACTTTCTAGGTAGAAACTGCTTTGTGGCTTGCCTAGGTCTTTGATTTTTACTTCTGTTTTTCTTCTTCTCAGAACATACACACCCTGACCACCTCAAATGATCTCAGAGCAATGGGATGAGGGGATTTCCCAAGGGCAGCAGCTGTCTCTGCCAGAATCTTGTTTCCCTAAAAGAGAGGAGCCCTCTGAGATCTGTCCAGTGTGGGGTACCCATGGGCCTCCTGGTGTTCGTTCACCCACCTATCTTCCTCCTTTGGAAATGTGAACTCCAGCTCCCCAGCCTGGACACAGGCAAGGAGGAAGATGCTGATCCTTCACCACGTCAGTGGTCAACTGCTTCGGGCTGCTTTACCCTCACTGAATAAAGAGTAATGATATGGGTCCTACCACCAAATGGTGAAATCTGTACTGCTGCAATCACTTTGCTCTCTTGCTGACCCCAGTCTCTGTCCCCACCTCCACCAGTGGGACTAGGAGCCCGTGTCCCAACTATGGTGGGATGTGTGGAATTTTGAGATGTTTGTGGATGTGTGGTGGTGTACATGGTGTTTTGGAGTATCTGCAGGACAAGGGAGGGGGTTGAAGACCTTGCTCATAAATATCTACTCTTTTTCCATGAGGAGAAAGTCTCTTCCAAGTGACTGGAGATGGGCAAGATAGTGATAGCTGCCATCTCAATGGGCTTAGTCCTTGACTGAAGCACACCAGCTACTGTGCAGGACCTCTGGGGTCAGTCAGTGATGGTGTCTGGGTCACTTGGAGCCATCAGCACAGAAATGTGTCTCCGTTAGTATCCTGTCTGTCAGAGAATAGTCTCCTGTTTTGGGGACCCCACCAAGGGGACTCATCACTGTCTCCTGCAGCCTTTGGCAAAAGGGGTGCTGGGGTGGGAAAGCTGATGAGCCTGCAGACCAGTGGCGCTGCAGGAGTGGCCCCAGCTCCCATGGTTGGTGGGGAAGTCTCCTCCCGCCCTTCTGCAATGGTACCTTTGGATGCTGAGCCGAGAAGGTCCCTGGTGGGACAGGGCTCACGCAAGAGCACACCAACCTGTCCTTGGTGGGTTGGTCCCATGGTGTGGGTGCTTGGGGCCATGGGACTGTTGCTGCTTCTTCAGCTTGTGAGGACTGCCACCAGGCCTGTGGTGTGGTCATCAGGGTGTGGGGCTCTGGTGGGAGCGTGCGCTGCGGAGGACATTGTGTGTCCTTGAGTCTCTTCCAGTACCTAAAGACGCTGACAAGAAACCGGGAGAGGGGCTTTTGACAAGGGTCTGTAGGGATAGGATGGGGGGGGGTGGCTTTAAACTGACAGAGGGGAGAATTAGATTAGATATTAGGAAGACGTTCTTTACGAAGAAGCTTGGGCTGCCCCATCCCTGGCAGTGTTCAAGGCCAAGTTGGATGGGGCTTGGAGCAACCTGGTCTAGTGGAAGGTGTCCCTGCCCATGCAGGGGGTTGGAATTAGATGAGATTTAAGTTCTCTTCTCACCCAAACTGTTTCATGATTCTATGATTCCTGCCTTCCAAAACCTGTTATGGTGGGCATGGTACCTGCTCTTTTCATGGGGCTGCTCAGTGCAGAGGGCAGACACTGCGTGCAGGCATGAAATGTGCACCTGAGAGCTGCTCCTGTTGGGCTATGTCCAGTGTTGCTGGAGCTGGTGGGTGCTGTTTCTGTTTAGCCCTATCCCTGGTGGGGCTCCATCCTTGACTCAAGTGTTCTTGCAGTGCCAAGCAGGTGTCCTCATGGCAAGCTCAATGTTCAGGATCTCTTCTTGGTTTTGGTTTTCTTTTTTTTCTTTTTTTTTTTCCTTTTTTTTCTTTTTTTCTTTTTTTTTGGTTTGTTTGGGTTCCCCCCCTCCCCCCCCAAGTGTTGGTGGAGCCCTGACTATTATTTTTTGGTTTCCCTTGTCATTCACAGTACAGTGCCGTGGACAGCAACCCCCTGTCTCTGTACGTCATGCATCCCTTCTGGAACACGATAGTGAAGGTGAGATCTCCTCCTCCTGAGTGGGACAGCAAAACTCCAGTCACCCTCTGTAAAACTGTCAGCTGAAAAGCCCTGCTTCGTATGTGGTGCAACTAATGACAAAGGGTGCTGCCTGCCAGCCTGCCCTGAGCTCACTGCATTGTAGTCTAAAGCTTCCACCTGCCCCCTGATATGCCAGACGCAACTAAGCAGTGCTGTCTAATGCCCAGATGATTGTAACCAGGTCTTTGCCATGGCTGGGAACAGCACATGGTCCCTATTATGTGTTTTAATGAGTCACGTGTTCTTTTGCTGCTTTCCCATAGATCTTCCCTACCTGGCTGGCCCCAAATTTGATAACGTTTTCTGGCTTCCTGCTGCTTGTCTTCAACTTCTTCCTCATGGCATACTTCGACCCTGACTTTTATGCTTCTGGTAAGGCTGCATGATCATGTTTGGATGCAAAGCATCTGAGTAGTGAAATCTGTCACCTCCTTTGCTGTGACCTCTGGTGCTTGTTGATAAGGCCTCTTAGTCTGGTCATTCCTCAAGAGGTCATTCCTGTGCCAGATGAGGGACAGAGTTGAGGGGTTGAACTTGCTGGGCTTCGTGACAAGGGCTTGTCCAAATATGAATATGCTGGGCTGCATCAACCCATCAGCTCAAGGGAGGGGATTCTCCCCTCTCTGCTCTTGTGGGACCCATCCCTGCAGTCCTGCGTCCAGCTCTAGGGCTCCAACACAAGAAGGATGTGGAGCTGCTGGAGCGAGTCCAGAGGAGGCCATGAAGATGCTCTGAGGGCTGGAGCACCTCTGCTATGGAGACAGGCTGCGAGGGCTAGGCTTGCTCCTCCTGGAGAAGAGAAGGCTCCACAGAGACCTTAGAGCAGCTTCCAGTGCCTCAAGGGGCCCACAAGAAAGCTGGAGATGGGCTTTTGCCTGTAGGGACAGGACAAGAGGGAATGGCTTTAAACTGTCAGAGGGGAGACTGAGATGAGATCTGAGGCAGAAGTTCTTCCCTGTGAGGGTGGTGAGGCCCTGGCACAGGTTGCCCAGAGAAGCTGTGGCTGCCCCATCCCTGGCAGTGTTCAAGGCCAGGTTGGACGGGGCTTGGAGCAACCTGCTCTAGTGAAAGGTGTTCCTGCCCATGGCAGGAGGTTGGAACTGGATGATCTAAAGGTTCCTTCCAACCCAAACCTGTCTATGACAACTTCCCTCTGCTGGGTGAATATGCCTGGCTGGCAGTGTGTGGGCAAAGGAAGGAGGAGGAAACAGTTAAATCTTGAGTAGGGATCGGCTCTCCCTACAGAGCAGGCAATAACCCAGCACCCTTATTTTAAATCTTATGGGGTAATGTGGGAAAGTCTCTGCTTCCATGATGTCAGCAGGTAGAACCTTGTTCTTTGCATCCCAGCTAATTGCCCTTTTAAAAACATAACAACACACATTCAGACTAACAAAGGAAAAATCCTTTTTCTTGATTTTGCTGTTCTGCATGAGGATATACACAGCTTTAAACTTTTTAACAGTACCCATGTTCCTCTGATTGTGAATCCAAAGGTTCAGTTGTGTCTCCTTCCTCATGGGGCTGACCAAGGAGAAGATTAATACAGCATGATCATTTTCAGCCATTTACCAATAGCTTCCTCTCTCTTAGTTCGCCTCTCCCTATGCCCCTGTCAGGTTTGGTTTAGGTTGCTCAGACAAGTCCATCTAGTTCTTCTAAAACTGGGCCAATTATCAAAACACAGTTAAGTGGGAAAAATACTGGTTTTTTTGGATTGCCTTTATTGGTAGCAGACAAATACTGCTTACTACGGTAAGTCAGGCTCTCAAAAGCTCAGGTGGTGTCAGTGGCCGTTAGCTAATGTGTGGACTGTGTTTTGGCCCACAAGCCATGGAAGGAAAAGCAGACAGTAGCTCAGAGAAGGAAGCTCAATATAAGAATCTTTAGGACTTGAGACATCCAGAAACAGGCTCTGCCAAAAGGCTGGCGAAGCTCATGCTTTGGGACCTTTTACATATGTGTTATGCATGTCCTACTTGGAAACAGAACTTTTAATTTTGCTGGTGAGGCCTCCAGAACCTTCCGCCTTCCTTCCTTGTGGATGGGTTTGTAGATGTGATGCCCTCCATTTGCTACTGGAAAGGCACCATCATGCTGTTTTAAGGAAATAGGAGGTGGCATTTCATGGGATTGTTGCTCCCCTGGGAGACCTCCTCCATGTGTCCCTGTGAGGCTGCCGCCAAGAACCCTTGCTGCTTCCTCCTCTTTTTCAAATGTACCTTTGGGCTCCCTGAGTGGCAGGCAGCTGAGCTGGCTATCTGCCAAAATGGTGGTGGAGGTGTTATTAAGGAGGAACTCTGTTTCAGTTGGCAGGGTGCAGTCTGGATCCTGGGCAGGAATCCTGCAGTGTTTCTGCACAGGCAGCGTGTCTCCATGTCTGAGGTGCTCTACTTGATGCCCTGTGAGCAAGTGATTGAGGAGAGTCTGATCTGCACACGCTTCCAAGTCATGCATTTGGCTAGCTGCCATCGCCAGTTCTTAGATCCTGTGGCTCTGGGGAGCTGGGGACAGAGGACAAATACGTCCTGGGAAGCAAAGTCCTTGGTGACCTGGTTTCTCATGCTGTCATGTCCTGAAAAGCTAACATCTGTTTTACTGTTTGAGTTGTGTAGGTGCCTTGTCTTGGTGAGCTACCAGTCCTTGTCACTGTGCCTCTTGTGTCAAACTAATCCCATTGAAAGTATGTGCTGAGCTGTCCTGACGTGGGTCTTTGATCTCTGCAGCTCCTGATCACCAGCACGTTCCAAACGGAGTGTGGGTCATTGTCGGTCTCCTCAACTTCATTGCCTATACTCTAGGTAAGACTATTTGATTGTGGGGATTTTGTGTTTGTCATCTGTTCATGCTGTGGCTGTGTCATCTTATATCTGAGCCTGTTGAGAAACTTTTGATTCTGTGCTTCTGCCACACACGGATCCAATTGCTGCTAGGTCTGCTCGAGTAGTTTCTGGAAGCTGCTTTGCAAACTGGGTAGAAGGAAGTTGTTCCAGAGTGAAAGGAGGATACTGAAACCAACTTTATGACAAATTGTGAAAATCTGTCTTTGGTCTCCTTTAAATAAATATGATCTTGTCAGGCTAATGCATTTGTCAGTCTCAGGTAGAGAAGGGAGTGGGGAGCACGCTCCCTATTGGAGGGTGGAAGATGCCGGCTGCATGCATGTTGTTGGCTGCAAACTGGCCCATTGCTTTGCCTGGGGGTGTCCAGTGAAACTCCCCATTTCTTCTTCTTCTCTTCCCAGATGGTGTTGATGGGAAGCAGGCTCGCCGGACCAACTCCAGCACGCCCCTGGGAGAGCTCTTTGATCATGGCCTGGACAGCTGGGCATGTGTGTACTTTGTCGTGACAGTCTACTCCACCTTTGGACGGGGCTCCACGGGAGTCAGTGTCTTCGTTCTCTACCTCCTCTTATGGGTGGTCTTGTTTTCATTCATCCTCTCCCACTGGGAGAAGTATAACACAGGGATTCTCTTCCTGCCATGGGGATATGACATCAGCCAGGTGGTAAGTACACACTGCTGCTCAGCTTCAGCATAAGCTCAGTAAACCCGTAGTATCTCTGCAGTGCCAGAGTGACCACTGAGGTGTGTGAGGGATGTGTGCAGCTCCAAGATCTTGTAAATTGGTCATTGCAATGCTTCTCTCAAGGTGGGTATCTTCAGCCTGTCTCCAGGCCTATGGAGGAGGAGAGCTTTCCAAGGCTGCTTGCATGCCCTTGAGCTATAGTTGTGTTAGTGAGCTGGGGTCATGTGGCACTAGAGTTCGACTGCTCAAAACCATTAAATCCAAGGAGGTTTGTGCCATTCTATGATTTTATTCTAAGTAGCTTTTGTAGATAGATTCTCTACGAAACATGGGGCTTGAAGAATGGATATTGCCTTGTGTTTCCTCTGTTTCTGCTGTCCTGAGATGCATGTTTCGGCCACCTAAATTATTGCTTTATTTAGTTTCCCGCATTATGCCAGTGTGGGTTAATTCAAGTCAGAAGTTTGGAGTGCCTTTTGGCACTGGCAGGATGTGTGCCAAACTGTAACAGGGTTAATTGGCGTGTGCCTCTCTGTAGTGTGGTAACTGAGCAATCAATAGGGAGACTGACTGATAGTGAGAGATCTTTTGATATGTTGGCATGTCTGTATCATTAAGGACACCTCTGCAGGAAGCTCCTTCTGAATCGCAGAATCAAAGAACGATTTAGGTTGGAAGACACCTTAAAGCTCATCTGGTTTCAACCCCCTGCCATGGGCAGGGACATCTTCCAGTAGAGCAGGTTGCTCCAAGCCCTGTCCAACCTGGCCTTGAACACTGCCAGGGATGGGGCAGCCCCAGCTTCTCTGGGCAACCTGTGCCAGCACCTCAGCACTCTCACAGGGAAGAACTTCTTCCTCAGATGCTTTCAGATCTCTGCCTGTTGCAGAAAGGCAGGGGGTGGAGGGCTAAGCTCCCCTGCGGCATGCTTCACCCAGCTTCAGAGCTGCTGTTAAAGCTGAAATACCTCTTGTTAACTTTTTCCCTATAACTGCTTCTGCAGATGGATGAGAGAGTTCCCCATCAAATGCTCTAGGGTCACTGCAACTTGCAGTATAAAACTTTCCTCTCATGCTTCAAGCATCTCATGAGTTCAAGCTACACAAGGGCATCTTTGCTCCTGCTGTGAGGAGCAGCTTCTGATTATATCCTTCTTAGCAGCTCAGCTACTGGTCTCACAATATGAGGTGTTTGTGGATTTTTTTATTTATTTTTCTTCTCACAATATGAGGTGTTTGTGGATTTTTTTATTTATTCTTCTTCCTCCTGCTGGTGGGGAGGACTGAACACAGTGTAGCACAGAGTGTGCCTCTCAAGCTGCCTTTCCCTGACTCTGTCTATCATGTGTGTTGTGCTGCTTTCCAATCTTGCCTCTCTGGTTGCTCACGCCTGCTTGTCCTGTGCTTTCTTTCAGACCATTTCAATTGTCTACATAGTGACAGCCATTGTTGGAGTTGAGGCCTGGTATGCACCTTTCCTGTTTAATTTCTTATATAGAGACCTATTCACTGCAATGATTATTGGTAAGAAACTCCATGTTGAAGCCTGTCTTTTAAACTCTACCTTTTTAATGAAACCCAGTGTCTTAATTATATGATAATGCTGCTGTTCTGTTTACTGTAATGAAAACTCCTGTGGTCTGTTACTGAAGTGACTAACTGAGGGTGTTCTTGCAGCCTGCCTTTTCCCAGGATTTCAAAGTATTGTCTTATGCATAGTTTCTTTGGTGAAGTTAACTCCAGTCTGCCTGGGTCTGCTGTTGACGGGAATAGCAAGGGAGCAGAGCTCTGCTCATGTCTTGGATGTATTTTCTGCCAATCCTGAGGGTATAGGAGCCTATTGCTGCTTGGGGAATCAACTCAGGTGCTGCCTGCCTGAGGCTGGGGGTACGTGTGGACAGACACAAAATGATTCCTTGCCTGGAGTGGTGCGGTGGGCAGCTGTGAGCAGCTGGGGGCTGTTGCTGCTGCTTGTGCCAGGGTGCTGGGAAGTAGCTGGAGCCCAGCACCGGCCCCTGAGTACTGAACAGGAGCCTCCCTCATGCCTGGGACCTGCGAGTGTGTGAAAACACGCCTCCTCCGAACAGCCGTGTCGCCCAAGCACCGGGGCTGCAGGCTTTGTGTTGCCCAGGGGAAGCAGGGCTTTTTAGCAGTGAGAGCCATGGGGTTTTGGGGCACAAAAAGCAGCCCAGCACCCACTGCAGGTAGCTGGCAGGGACCCCCAGCACTTGGGCTGTTTGCTGAGCACTTGCTTTGCTGCTGGGGCTGAGTCTCAGAAGCCAGAGCCCAAACATTGCATGGGAGCCTGGGGCTGCTGTTGGAGGGATGTTCCAGCCATGGAGGTGGGGAAAAGCAGTCTGCTGTCTGGGGATCCTGCCTTCTATCTGCCCATCTGAAAATTGAATTTAGAAATGTACAATTAAATAAAAGCACAGCCGTTCTCTCCAGTGGCCAGTCAGAACCAGCTTCTGCAAAGGGGAGGGTAATGCAGAGAAGCTTAGCCAGGGAGAGCTGTCCTTGCTTAATGTAATTTGGCTTATTCAGAAGTTCTTGCTCAGTTTAATTTTTCATAGTTTACGTCTCTTTCTTTAGGGGTTAATTGTATCTGCTCAATTTCAAGTTAATGTCTTGAATTGTGTTAAATCTAGTGCTTGCACTTTTCTTAATCAGATGGATGCCCTGAGCTTTCCTTTGGCAACTGTATAACTTAACATATGAATAATAAATGCACTTTCCCTATATGTAAACTGGAGCACAATGCCTCCATTGGCTGCGTTTGTGTACTTGGATAGGAGTTGGTTATTAAAAGCAGGAATATTTAAAGCTCTGTTAAAATACTGCTAGATAAGTACAGAAGGAGCTGTGATAGACTATCATGGATTTGAGTGTTGTGGATGATGTTTCCTATTGACTCTAGAGTTTTCAGTGTTATTTAGACTGTATCATTTGTCAAGTTAAACAACAAGAGCTTTTTTGCACAGTGGCAAGAGAAAATGCTTGCTCACAGTGGCAGAAACAGCTAATTGTCTTTATTACGAAGACTGAGAACTCTTTTGTCCACAGCCATGTCACTTGTGGAGTTTGAACTTGCCTCATTAAATATAGTATTTTAATTAAACTTTGTGACTGTTTAAAACATAATACTGGACTCATTAATGTAACTTTTAAAAATGGAAATGTCTTTAATTTATAGCAGATCTTAACTTGTAATTACAGCTCTTGGACCAGAATTATGAGCACCTACTTTTAAACGTGCCAAGCTATTCTTGGGCCACCTCTGAGCTATTTTTGTTGCAAGCACCTTAAGTGAGAGCACAAGCCCCTGCCCATTCATGAGGTGCATGCAATGTTTTCCCTCTCTCACAGGGCAGTAACACAGCTCTTTTTCTTCCAGCTTGTGCACTCACTGTGACGCTGCCAATGAGCCTGTATAACTTCTACAAGTAAGTTCCTCCATCC